TCCTACATACAAGTAAGTAATTATTGCATTAAAAGTTTTTCATAAGCTTTCTTATTTTCAATCTTCTGTCTATTGCGCGACTCGTCCTGAATGTGTGCTCAGAATTAGCTTCTACGGTTATATCTAATGTATAATTTAAAATATGAAACAGTTTTTCAATGGCTCCGTTTGTTCTACAAAGCGTGTTATTTATTTTTTTGCATGACAGATTTTTCAAAGTTTTATATTTTTGAAAACTAGCTCTTTAAGTTGATTCTAAGATACAAATTAACTAGACGTTATAAATCTATTATATTTTTAGCTTCAAGTAACTAGTCAAGAACTTCAACGTGCTGTAGCTGAAAAAATAAATCAATTTCATGATAAACTTCGTTCATCAGATTCAAATCGTAGTGGACAGGTAATTAAAAATTAAAATTAATTAAAATATCATTATTATTAATTTTTTTTTTGTTTTTGAATAGATTACACTTGAATTTTATCAAAAGAAAAAATCTCGTTGGATGTTTAAACCAGAAGAAATTCCATGGGAAATATGGACTATTAAAATTGAACAAATGCAATTATCTAGTGAAAATGGTATTTTAGTTTTATTTAATATATGAATGTGAAGATTATTTTTCTAATGATTTCATTGGTTTTTTCTTTTAGAACGACAATTCATGCGTGAAAAACTTTCTGATTCATTGACAGAACGTATCTTTCAAATAACTGAAATAATGTAAGAAGATAAGTAATAAAATTTAGTTTTTTTTTTAAATTAATTAATTATTCATTTATTTTTTATATTCAAGTAATAAACCTGATTATGTACCTAAACCACCACATTTATCGGAATTGGATTTAGTTTTTGATACATCATATACTGATATTCAACCATATTTATTTAAAGTATAGAATTAATATATGTTTATTTATTTATTTATTATTTTGTTGTACTAGATTCACTTCAGTGATTCACCAACGATTGTTAATCATGTGAAAACAATGATTAAAGAAGCGTTCAATACATCACTTTAAGCACCAAAATAAATAAACCGCCATGATTTTATATATATATATATATATGAATAATAACTTTTCTTTTTACTGTCTTCTTTTTGCCATGTATATATAAAAAAATCAATATATGTTGTTCAAAGTCCTGTTTTTTTTTTTCAATGTCAATGATTTTCTGTAAATTTTAGATAATAATGTTTCATTGTTCATCTAATATCAATCGATTAATAGTAAAATCTAATCAAATCATACAACCAATACGTGTGCGTACGTTATTTTATTATTATTTTCCTTCTAATAATATTTTCTTTTTTCCTGGGTTGTCTTATTTAGAATGTTCGTATACCATTTTGGGAATTTTTAAAAACATCATTTCAAGCACGTTCAAATCCTGAAGCTAGTTATCATCGAAAACGTATTGGTGGTTTTCAACCGATTAAAGCAGAACTGTTTCCTAATAAAACATATTATTGGTGTTCATGTGGTTATGCACAACATCAAGTAAAAATTCGATTTGAAAAAAAAAAAAGAAATTTTTTTGTATACATATTATATCTATATTCAAGGCATTTTGCGATAAATCATGTAAACATTTGCGAGGTGACTTTAGTCCATTAAAATTTACATCAGCAAAATTTCAAATGGCTGAATTATGTATGTGTAAATTAACTGAAAAAGCTCCATATTGCGATCAATCATGTCATACACGTTTTTCTGGTATGCAATTACGTATGGGTAATGCTGTTAATGGAACATATTCAAATGTAAAAGAATTTCTTAATACAATACCAAAAGGTGTTGATAGTTATCGACAATTTGCTGCTGATCGTCAAGCTAAACTTGAATATACAGAACGTTTAAAAAGAAAAGTTGATGATGAAAAAAATAAAAAATATTCAGACAAAAAATAGAAAATAAAAAAAAAAGAATATATATATTGTTTGAATATTTTTAGATGAATTAAATTTTTGTTTTTTTATGAATTATCAGTATTTTAAATCATGACAGATCGGAAGTATGAGAAGAATTATTTATAATAATTAGAATTTTCATTCTATTTAATTTTATTATTAGAGCAAAACGATCACGTGTAATTGTTAATGATGGAACATGGGATTGCTCATTGTGTACATATAAAAATCCATGTGTAGCATTTCGATGTGAAATGTGTGATTCAAGAAAAGGAACAGCTACTCGGTAGGATATATATATATATAATACTAGAAAATATTGATAGGATTAAAATAAAACAGAAGTGTCATCCATATAGTTTATTTTCTGTTATTAATCAAGTAATAAAATGAAAAAAAAATCGAATAACTTCATCAAAAGATATCTTCTATTGGAACAAGAATTTAATATATTAAATTTTTTTAAAGTTTGATTAACAGTATATCTAATGAATTACATCTATACAATGAAAATGATAACTATGGTTTTATTAGAACAATAAAATTTTCACAGACACACAAATAAATCTTCTCTTCGTAGAGGTATAATTAAATCAAATATGTTCTCAATAACGTTTTTCCATCGCTTCGGGTAGATTATCATCATAAGAAAAAAAAATAATATTCAGCCTAATGATAAAAGATTTTCAATCGTTAATAACATTCTCTATGCAGATTTCAATAATTCTTTATACTTTTGAATGTTTCATATTCTAGAAATCAATCATTCTACTAACAACAAATTCAATTGTTTGAAAAAAGAATAAAATAAAATAATGAAGTCTGATAATACTTTTTTTTTGTTTTTATTTAGAAAACCAAAACTTGTATTAAGTGATCATATTGAACAATTACCAAGATCAAAACGTAAAACAGATGATGATTATTCATCAGATGCATCAACAAGTGATGATACAGATGCTCAAGATGATGATGACGATGATGATGAAGAATTTCAACATGAAGAACGTAAAAATACTCATCCTAATAATAATAATAATAATAATAATCATACACGACGAACATTTCCTAATGATCATTTTAATGAAAGTATATCATCTCCAGCATCATCAACAACAACAACACGATCATATCGTTCAGCTTCACCATCATCATCATCAAAAATTAATGATCATACAAAATTATCAACAACAAAAAAACGACCAACAATTACTTCTATATCACGTTCAACTAAATCAACATCAATATTAATCAATAATAAAAAATCTAATAATGAAAATGATCAAAAAAAACCTATTAAATATCAATCATTAAAATCTAAAGATATTAAACAACGACAATCAAATGATAATAATCAAAAAAATAAAATAATAAATAATGAACGAAATAAAAAAAATGATGTACAAAAAAAAAAGTAAATTTATTATTTATATATATATATATGATTTCATTTTAAATAAAAAAACAAAGAAATTTTTAGAAAAAAAATTAAATTATCTTCACTTTCATCAATGTCATCATCATCATCAACATCATCAAATTCATCATCAACACATACAACAACAACAATAACAGTTGATGGAGTTTCAGTTCGTATAACAGAATTAACTAATAATAAAAATAATTCTTTAACAACAAATGATACATTTAATAATGGAAATAATAATCCATCAAGAGCTTCATCATCATCATCACCAAATGATCGAATTAATAGTCAATCGGAAAAATAAAAAACATTTTCTATTATTATATAGTTTTCTTTTTTTTTTGTACAGATTATAACAATGATCAAATATCTTTGTATGTGTATGTGCAAATGTCTAAGAAACAAAATTTGTTTTTTTTTTCTTTTTTTCTTTTTGATAGGCTAGTTTGTTTTTGTGTGCAACAGGAAAATTACATTCTTCTTTAAAAATATCATTAAAACTTGTTATAATTTGAATTATATTAAGATTTTTCTTTTGTTGAATTAAATCAAGAAAAACATTTATGTAAATACTTATTTGTTAAATTTCTTTGATCGTCTTGAATATATATGACGATAATTTATTCTTGATATACAACAAAGAGAAATTTAAATGCAGAAAAAAAAAAAGAAAAATACTTTAAATTTGAACTACATTAGGATATAATGTTTACACACAAGTCAAGACGACTTCTTCTGTAAATGACAATATCTGATTCATTTTTGATATATCAACGATAGAGCTGTGCGGAATGAAGGACTGAAATGGCAAGTAAAAAAAAAAAACATTTGGTTCCATACATCTTTAATAGTCATATACTGAATTATACACCTTCGTTTAAGTTTGTGTGTCATATGATCAATGGTTATTTTCCAACTTGAATTCGAAATGAACAACGCATTACAATGAAATGTGTTTATTCAATTATCAGTGGCAAATTAATCTCATCTTGTTTTCGTAACATCTTTAAAAAAAAAGAAATTTTCCTCAAGAAATTCTACGTTCTCAGTTATAATATCTATATTAAATTATACTATAATTATAGTTTCTAACTACCGTGCATATTCAAACTAATTTTTTGAATGTAAGTCCAAGTGTGCTACATATTATCTTTTCGACTAATGTCGATACCCTATCTTAGCATGATTTATTTTGATCAATTTAATTGTTAACAAACAAGTAAAAAAAATCTAGTATTTTGACACATGAACATTCTTATTTCCAATATTCATTTCCGATGACTGACGTATATGAGCATCGGAAAAGCGCTCATTACTGTTAATGTTTCTTTCATCACATTAATCTAATTGTCAAGTAATTCAATTTTTTCTTCAACTTTTCTTCTCATTTGCTGATTTTTCAGTTGCTTGCACTAATAAAATTTTCTTTTTCTTGAACAAGTTTTGTAAGTTGATTAATGACTTGTGGAATCTCGTTTTGTCTTGATACCATTGTGTCAGGTTATAACAATAGAAATGTAAGTATGATTCATTAAAGACTTGAATAACAAATAGGAGACATGCAATCTGATCAACTGAAATCACAATAAATAAAAGCAAACGCTTATGAATTTATTTGGCATACACATCAGTTCTACGAAAGAAAGAGATACATTCAGGTAGATAAAAGTGTATATCGTTTACATCTCGTGTTTTAACTGGAAAGAGCAGTGTACAAACTGAACTTTTTGATCCGGGTAACTAAATGACGACTAATCATGTCCGTATATATATATTAGATATCGTACACAAAGAAGAATCAAGTGAAAAAAAACACGTATGACAGATTAAACATTTGTCTTGGCCAAATGACGTGCTCATTGCTCATAATATACCAAAACATCATAAGAGAAAAAAACAAGTCGTTTCCATCTGTTAATAGAGTTAAAAGTAGAAGCAGCCGTACGAAGGGATATCTAAATATAATACAGTTATAACTTAATTTTCTAGTGAATCAGTATAGTAATCTGCACTAGCTGGTCTTCTTTTCTTCTCCGTTCTATTTTACTGAAAAGTATACTTAGTGTTAAATTTCTGCTGCCTTTTTTGTTTTGTAAGACAAAATCTAATGTCAAAAAACAAAAAAAAGAAAAGACGCAATAGAATGTGACTGACGTGATTTCTTATTAGTCATTCATAAAGTTCTTATGCTCTGTTTTTTTTTTCGAAGATTTCTTAAGCTGTGACAGCTTATCAAGATGACAATATAAAATTACTTCTGTTTTCGACTTGATTTAAATGTGACGTAAGTGCTTACATCACTTGATGAATTATATATATATTCATTCATAAATATTACAATAAAAATATATCAAGAAAATAATTGATAGAGAAATGAAACTATGACAAAAAAGATTATTCAAGTCGAAACTAAGAATTGTAATTAAATCCTTTGTGTTATGAATCACATCAATCAAAGTAAAATCTAACAGTGGTAAGACAAAAAAACAGGTGCTATTGATCAAATGAATTAATCAAAACATGAATATTTGAGACTTTTACTTTTTATACGAATAAATTGTACAATAGTAAATGAAATTATATTTCTATTTGGCATTTACCAATATTAGCTATCCTTTCGATAAATATACATGAACATGAATCATAAGTAAAAATTTCTTTTTTGCCTATGTTAAAAGCAATCGTGCGATATGCACGAAATCGTAGTATTATTTAATATTTGACATAAAAAAGTGTTTCGATTATTAAGTGTACAAGAAAAAAAAAGTTAAGTTTTTTTTTTAAAATCTAAAATCATTGTATGCTCATTTCCATACAATACAACAAGCAGTCACTGGACTATCGCCATCTGTAATTAATTTCCTATCTTCACGTATTCCAAATCCACCAAATAAACCATGTACTATCCAACTACCAATAATAGGATGATAACCATCATAATTAGTTACAGAAAATAATTCTTGATATATACAATCTCGATCAATAAATTTACCTTGTGTTTCATCAATAACAGATTCACCATTAACACCATATAATGTGACATTATGACCACAACGACCAACAATTGGTTTTTTAACAAAAGGTCCTTGTTTTAAATCATTTGTTAATGTATATTCACTACGTAAAAGATTTGGATGATTTGGATATAATAACCATAATATAGGTAATATTGCTTTATTACTTGGTATAACTTTCCATAATGGTTCGATCACTTTAATTTGATCATTTAAAAAAATTTGACATAAATATGGATGTTCACCATTGATTTGTTTATTTAAATTTCCTTCTTTTTCACATTTAATATAATTACTAAAAATTGTTTCCCACATCCATAATTTCCATACTAATTCAACATGACAACCTTCATTATCAATTATTTTTGAATCTTTCCAATATAAATCATTTGTCATAATACAAATTTTAGAATCAATATTAGCATTTTTTAATACATTTTGCATATAATATGCTGTTAATAATTCTTCTTGATCTTCATCAATTAAAATATGTACACGTTTAATGGAAGAAATTTTTTTCCAATGTTTAACTAAAATATTATGAATTTGAAATCCAGACATAAATATACGTTCAAAATTAAGTTTTTGTGCCCATTTTTCTTGTATAACTGATGTTTCAAATAGAGCTGCAGCACTATCAGCATTATATTCAAATACTTTTATTTCTTTACCATTAAATGCTAAATCAAAACGTCCAGTCATTGTTAAATCTTTTTCATTTAACCATGATTGACGAATTTTTGACCAAAAAATTTCTGGTATACAAAATTTTTTTAATAAATCATCACTTTTTAATACATAATTTGTTGCATGAAGAAACATTTCATGTAATTCATTTGATACACCACCTATATTTAATAATAAATCTTGATCAGCTTTATAATATGGTAATGTATTTGTATCAGTACGTATTAAATCACTTCCAAATAAATCCATAAATAATTTTTCAGCTTTATCATTTTCATTTAACCATGAAAATGTTAAATGAGAATTTTTATTTGGTATTATACAACGTTCTAATGTTCCAATAGGATTTGTTTGTTGATATTGTTTTAAAATTAAATCAAGTTTTGTTTCATCTAATGCTTCTAAATTTTCACTATCTTCAATTGTCATCCAACCTGTTACTTCATGTTCATCGTCAATATAATAACAATTATTTTTATATATTAATGGAATTTGACGAGAATAATTATCCGACCAATTATAATATTCATAATTTTGTTCAGCTACACGTACATAACCGGGTATAACATCACATATAACAGCAATATGTCCAGATGGTAATGCTGAACTACGTGGATAAATAAGTAATGAATCACGTTTAGGTTTTTCTGATGAACCATTTAAATATGCTGTTAATGAAATTTGTTTACCATCAGTAACACGTTCAACAGTTTGTAATTGATTCCATATATCAGCAGCATGACGTATATTTGGAAAAATACAACTTTTTGACATTAAAAGCCATCGACGTGCAAATTCAATACATTCCCATTTAAAACCCAAAAATATTCCATGATAATAATGACGTTCAACAGAAAAAAAATTATCATCACCATTTGAATAAGCACAAACATTTGTTGATGTAATACCTTGTATTTGATTAAATGGTACGACTTCTCGTCTGGTACGTAACATTATTTTTGTTTCTAAAAAAGAAAAACAAAAAAACGAAATTAAGATTTGATTCTTTTGTTTCAAATGTTATTTCTTGTTTAGGATTCTTATTAAATAATAGAAGAAAAGTAATTTGAATAAATATATAAGAAAATTTTTATTATTCATCTCAGCTAACAAAAACTGTCTTAAAAATAAAATTAAAGGATTCAGAATGATAATAATAGCAACCTACCACCTAGATAAAGTATTTTAAAATATACATTGCATGAAAGAATATATTGTTCTGCATATATATTAGTACAGTGCGTATTATTTTTATCAGTGATGAGAAGTAAATATTACTCACCGGCTTATTTAAAGGAAGTATATTTTGAGTTAAAGAATAGATTTCAGCGAAATTTGTTTATAGGTTCCTTTGTTTTTCTAAGGACTATACGGGGTCAGAACGAGATAAAAGCAACATATGTGCAAATAGTTAGAAAAAGCATAGTCGACTTTTCTTGTAAATACAAATTAATTTCTTTGTCAAATTTTTTTTTAAAAATGATGTCATTATTCCCGTGACGAAAGGTATGCATTCAAAAACTTTTGAAAATTGTTCAAAACTGTAATGTTACAAAATTATCTGATAAAACATCTGTTTTGTTTTTGTTAGTTTCGGGCACGA